TTCTTGCTGATACATTCAGTGGTGATGTATCGTGGACCAAGTACCCTCATTTGTTGGGCCATATTTATATCAATCAAGCAAATAATGTCTTTCCCCTGGTCAGATCGCGGGACTGACACATATGCAGGAGGTATACTGCGTAACTATTGTAATACACACGTTTCTGAGTCAATTATGTTAAGAATACAGGGTCATTTCCAAGGTGTGTTCTCATTTTTACTCAATCAACTAGTTCAAGTCTCAATTATTTATCGCGTTATACCTAAGGTACAAATAATAATTACAGCGAATTACGGGATTTCACAGTTCATTATGTATGCGATACGAGTTGAAAATCAAACGACCTTCATGTATTCTCTATTGTATTCTTAACAAATCGTGTTGATTCGTAAGCTTTTCGCAGTTGCTAGACAAGATATCGTTGATTCGAAGTTGTAGTGCGTTTTTGAGAGAATCCTGCGCATATTAGTTTTGAATGTGAATTAGTAGAGGTTTGTCATTGTTACTTTCGCCACGTGCTTTACTCTTGTGTTTAACATGTTAACAATGTTGGGAGTCGTAAACGACTAATCTAGTAAGAAATTTTGAATGGAGTATCATTCCACTGTTGGGTAGTATTTCGCCGAGTCAACCCACTAAACCATTAAATAACAATGGGTAAGCTACGATGTACTATGATTAGTTTGTAAATGACTTAAATTTATTACCAAATGTCATTGAAAGTGGTAAAATACACCTTGGCATGGTTAGCTGAAATAGCTAAACAAGTTACTAAAAATTGGTCAGTTACACTATTATGTAAAGTAGAATAAATGTTAAATAAAGGTCTAGTTCATGCTACTAAGTATATCAATATTGGTAAGCAAGTAGAGTATTGATCTATGTAAATACGAATTAGGCTAAGTCAAATCAGAAAGATTTCACCAGCCATTCAGACATAATTAAATAAAGTTAGGTTTTGGTATGTATTAGTACTTCACACAATAAGTGTGATCCTAAATAGCCTAGTGAAACTGTACTCTGTGTGTATGTTACGCCACTTCGATTTCTGGTTTTTGAACACGTCGACAGGACATTGGTCACCTATGGTGGAATCATCTAGTGACTAATGATGTTAGCCATAATTTACTTCAGAGATATCATGAATCGACCGGTAAGATGAGGAATCTTTATTGAATGATTTGGTCGAGAAACGTATTTTATATTCCGTACTAACAGACTAAGCGCAGTCAGGTCTCTCCACTCACTTAATCATCATAAGTTTGCCTTACAACTGGCCTTTATGAACGTGTAAAGGATTAGTAATTGTTAACCAATATAATTTGTTTCATATGAGTTGAGGAAACCTTCAGTATTTAAAAGCAACCAGAGGGCGGAGTTTATCTTTAACAGTCCCAGTGATTAGTGTGTCATGCAAACGTTTACCAAGTTCCTCGTTAAACAAACACCTTCCTAGTTGGTTGGAAGAGACAGTCTCCAAGCATTGAGATCCTAATCGAATTCTGTAAACTAGCTATGCATGTCAACCACCTAAATGTCTTTTTTCACTATCACTTACGCGTTGATCCCAGTAGATACGAACAATATTTCTAAGACATCTGTGGTCAAATACTATTAGCTTACGAATATCTTCTACTCTTAATGGTCACGTTTCGCTGCCGTAAATAATACGGAACGACCTGTCGCGCGGTATATTCGTCCTTTTATTGATAGACGGATACCTCGACTTCTCCACAGGTGAAGTTGGCTAAAGCCGAACGAGCTTTTAGGATCCATGCTGAAATCTCGCCAGACAAAAACCCATTAGGGCTGGTCAGACTTCCAAGATAACTGAAGTTGTCGACGCGTTCGACTGATTTACTCCCTATCCTTAGTTCAGGTGTTGACGGAAGCCAGTCCTGGAGCAACAACGTGCATTTAGAGGGAGAGGAACGCATCCCAAACATTCTGGCATTGTTGCTTAGTGCTACCAAAAGATTGTGTTTTATCAACGTCTTCACCAAATAGGACTACATCACCTGCGTTTTCTAAGTCGATAAGTGGACATCCTGGTAGGAGATAAATGCCCGGAAATTCAGTTGAAGAGAGCGTTATTTCCATCTGTAAGTCTATGATGAAGTTCACCGAAAATGGAGATAGCAGACAACTTTGCCGGACACCACCTGAGGTTGAAAAATCAGATGACAGTTCGCCATAAACTGTGACTCGATTAGTAGTGTTTAAGTGTAGAGCCTTCACAAGGTTTATGTACTTTTGAGGCACACCTTTCAATGACACAATGCCGCAGTACCTCTTGGTTTACAGAGTCAAATGCTGCTTTTAAGTCAAGAAAGGTCAACATTGTCGGACGCTGATAGGCGTACCTGTGTGTTAGAACATGACGGATATGTGGTTGGTGCAGCCAATTCTTTGTTCCAGTGTCTTTTATTAGCCTGAAGTGCTGTCTTGTGTTGGTTAACCTAGAATTGATTTGTTTTCGCTCTTCATCTTGTTCAGAGCCTGATGCGATGAGTTTACGAGAATCCAACAGCGCAATGGACTTAGAAATCCATTGGTTTTTTGTAACCGTTTGGTTTAAATCACTGATAATGTCACGGCTGTTTGCATACTTTTCTAAGCAAAATCTGGGTCATCCTCGTTTTCGAAACTACCTACGAGTGACCTCAGTTATTTCTGGAATCTTTGGGATTTCTCGTTACTGAGTTGAATTCTAATAGGTGTTTTTAGTGTGATTTTTCTGCGTCCAGTGAGGCACAAGCAAATGCGTGCCCGTATTAGCAATATGCAACAGATCAGGAAATGTAAGTCTGCAGAATCCTAGCCCGAATTTTTTCAGCTGTTACATCTGCATTTGGTTTGAGACGTTACGAACAACAACAATTCCTTTTTAAGGAATTAAGTGAACTGAATATTTCTGAAGGCTTCAATCAAAAGAAATGTTCATCACTGGAAATTTGAAATTCAGATGCAGGTTTATTTTATATTTCTGCTTTCAACTAACTTTAGACTTTTTCATATTTCGAGGTCGACTTGTCTTATTTTAACATTGAAATAAATTGTAATAAAACGCTTGAAATGTACGATCATTTTATTCACCACACATTAAACGTCTTTCTGTGTATCCATAATGCACTTGCCTTAGTTGCAATTGGATTAAATCTTCTCGATGGTTTGGCACCCCGATTTTCATTCACTTCATTTATCTGCTGAATCAGGATTAGGAAAATCCGCGTAACTCTAATCTACAGACAACCTTTGAACGAATCTCAAGTAACCTTGAGAAATACTAGCCAATCAGCAAACGGTCAGATTAGGGTAAAAATATGTTATACAAAACCAAAGAGACAAATTGGATACACTTCTTATACGTGGTTCAAAAACTTGTAAAGGTTAGAAAGAGGTTCTAAAATCGCAATGCATGAAATCATCCATACGGCTACGAAATAGTCGGCCTCTGGAGCCATGATAAAGTCTCAAAAACTATTTCAGCCTCGACCACATAGCTCCAATATTGTTAATGTGCACTCCGTTTGTTGAGCGCACAAAATGCCACTTGTGGATAACGACACGATGCACATAACCGAGCCTATGTAGGAGTCTGTACGCTCTCCAAACATCCGTACATACCGTACTACCTGGTTGCAGCCAATGTTACTGGTGCTTTTATTATCCAGTTCCCAATATTTGTCGTAACTTGCCGTAGTTAGGGATTATAAATAGGGTTTTCATCACGAACTGACATAAGCTATAAAGCCAGAAATTTATTTAGCCAAATGGATAAAAGGCTTTCGCGTTAAAATCCAAGATCTATTATCTTATACCTGAGTGATTCGTCCAGAAATTATAGTCCCGCCATTTTATTTTTTATAGCCGCTTAATTATCACGTTTTGTACAAAATTCCCTGTGAACTGATCGTACGTTAGCATTAAGCTCTGAAGTTGACACCGTAACCTTAAAATCTCTAGAACGCCTCTGATTGGCCCGTCCAAAAATTAGAGTCTCGCCGGAAAGTCAACAGAATCTCCCGAATCTATTCTTTCCTATCCAGCCTGGGTCCAATGGAATTCACTGATTTACGAGCACCTCCAAGTTGTATCTCCTCATTTCCTCAATTATTTGACTGGTCCTTCCGATCTCCCACATTGTCGGAACATTCGATGTACCTACATTAATCGTTGCTGTGGTTGTTAGAAGAGGCATCGGCCTCGAGATTCTTGAAGAATATCGGCTTTCGCCACGAAGCGTCACAATTCTTATTCAACTCGGAGAACAGAATTTGAATGGTTTATTGTGTGTATTCCAGTTTTTATCAAGGCTGTTTCTTATGTTGTGGGATTGCTGACTCCATGCTCAACCCTCCTCCGTTACCAATGATAACCATAGTGAAACAGACGAAGTTGGTTACCCATAAAAATTACTCAGTATGTCGATGGGTTGCAGTAATATGGTTTTAGATGTCTGGTTAGAACAGATTTCTCGGCCAACAGACTAGACGTCCGTTTACAGAGCAAATATACTCATGTTGGTCTATTCTTCGCTAGATTAGCAACCACGGTTAGCGTGCATTTAGGGATTTGAGACTGGGGTAATCATCAAACTGGTTTGTCCTCAACTAGTTATATGGGAATGTAGCCCCTATGAACACTAGTGAAAGGGTCATTCAATGTAGTTGGATTTTTTTCGAACAATTTGTTGAGATTGTCAGGACATACTACCTCCCTTTAACTCCATTTGCTTGAGACCTTCAAAATAGTAGCAGTTGAAAACATCTCGCGAATTATGCTTTTGCTTCAACCCGAATGTTTTCCAGTGCCTGGAAATCACCGACTTAGAGCTTGACTTATTGATTGCGAGCATTTTAGCACCAACTCTCCTCGCAACTTTTGTTTTACTGAACACTCATCACACTCACACATCAAAAGCTGTTAATTATTTACATATATTTATGTGGAAAATTTAGTTAAAATACATATGCAATTCTTGAGGATAGTCTTTTAGATCAAACGAGAGCCCATGGTTCCTCAGCCTAGAAAAGAGAAAGAAGCTATTTTTTCATTCAGATTCAAATAATAACAGTAGCTTCCAATCAGAGATTGAAGCTTCATATGGCACCTACGAGGTCATCACAACACGAGTAATACTTACCAAAATCTGCCCATTTTTGCGTATCCCACATTTGTTAGTGCAGCTGAAGGTATGTGAAACAATTGCCTTTCCAAAAGTGATGAGCTCCACAAGCGATAAGTTCAATAAAAGACAAACAACTGAATGAGTGGTGATCCACTGATCATGGCTTGTCATAAAAATACCAAATTGATTTGATAAATTAACTATTCGCTGATGAATATCAAAGCACTAACTTTGACTGTCTGACTGGAAAATGTTCACTTGAGTGAACCATAGAATTGCGTTGGTCATGATCCAATATCAGAATTTCATATATGACAAGAAAGAATTGTTGAATCTCTAATAAACACGAATATGGCATGGAGGGCATATTAGTGGTGCGTTATAATGTTCAAGTCAGTATATCTCCCGACCTATGTGGGTTCGCGTTTACCCTGAAAGTAATTCATGCGCTGGAGGAGTATGAACAGCAGTGAGAAATATGGAACAGAAAAGAAATAACAAAAAATGTTAGTCAACTCATCGAGCACTAATGCTTGAGAGGGAAAATAAACAAGAATTATGAAACGACACAAGCATGAGATTCAGGCAACTTAGGCAAAATATCGTTCGAGTGTTCCATATAAATACAAACACACCTTTTTTCTCAAATGACGTTGTCTGCATGGGTATTTCATCGCATTTGTCATGCAAACCCTACTACAAGTAAGTGTTTTTCGAACACTGCACTGTCATTTACATTGTGTATTCTAATCAGCATTTTAGGGTGCACTTTTTAATGGGTTTTCATCTGGCCTAAAGACGTTTTACGCGTGAATGAGAAAAGCAGTGTCAGAGTAAGGATGATATGGAAACAATAAGAAATAGGCCGAATACTCAGTAATGATACAGCATATGAAGTTAGCTGCCAGCGACTAACAAAAACACTACATAAGTCAGCTTGGGATTTCAGTTACTTTTTAAGTGCATGTTATAAATGGAGTAGACGTTTTCAAACTTGTTATAAATTTACTTTGCTTTTGTTAATTGCATCAAAACCTTAATTGGTCTACTTTACATTGAACTGTTGCGATTGAAGCTTGGGATTTTTCTCAAATTCATTCTTTGATACTCCATTTTTGGTCGAATCTCACGCCTGCTAGCAAATTGTTATTTTGTCCGTTTTTTCACTAAAATTTGCTGCATTTCATACTATTTTATTACTCGATGGTTGAATATTAGTGAATTTGTGATGTTAAGTTTTTACACTGGTTGAGTGTATTATTTATATATGGATAACCGAATCGTTCGTTTCCTGTTAAGGAAGGAATGAAGTGTGATGGGTTGAACAACTGGTTCCACAAAACACATGCTCGTTAGAAACTTATTACACACAGGAGATTCTTAAAACCTAACTCCCTTAGCTCCGTATATTTCACTGTTCGAGTAAAGCAATGCTGACCCGGGAGGCGATCGACCTTGTAAGTGGAGGTACAGAAATACCTAAACAGCCTACTGCAAAAGTGGCGGAGAGTGAAATATATGGTGTCGGTGGTCAAGACTAATATTGTACTGTCAGTTTCAAATAGTTCTGATATGGCTGTCGCGAGTAAAGAGAACGACCACTGTCACGAACAGCGCACACCTCACTGACAGGCTTTCATTGAGAGTCACAGAATAATCCACCAAAAATCTAATGTAAAACCATAGTTAACTATAGCACACGAGCAAAAAGGCATGGTTACATTGAATATAATCGTAATCTTGTAGAATCAAAAGACCAAATTCGGTTATTAAATCAAATATCGTAAATGGGAAGCCGGTTATTCTAATTGTAGTTAAGAAATCTAAGGTTGGTCAAAGTGACAGGTTACTTACTTCCCATAGAGTCAAGGAAAGTTCTATGCCCAGAACTCGTCTCGATCATTACGTTGAGGGAATAAAGATTCCACTTGACCGGCTAGCGCCTCAAAATATTTCTGAGGTCACCTCACTGAAATTTTAAAGACAAGGCAGTCAGACAAATGTGGAAAAGTCGAAATAAACTTCTGAAGTTGGTATTTAAATCTCCCAAATCAAGTTGAATCAACACTAAAAAATGGGTATAAGCTACAAGAATCAAGAAATTCTGTTCCTAAAGGCTTGTCAAAAACCGGGAAGCTGACAATGAAATAAAACCAAGATCAGGTTTCTAGGGACAGAACACTAGCACTTTTAATTTCCAAGGTGGTGTAGCTTCGACAGAGAATGATATCGAACCCATTTTAGGCGTAAAGCGAAGCTATATAGGCGATCTTTGAATATGTGACAGAAATACTCAGCATTCACTTAACAAGCGATTGGAGCTTAAAGTCTAGTTAGATTATGTATGATCAGGTATAATTTCTGACGGAAGCTTGGCTGACTCGATCATCAGTCAATAGGGAACTTGGTTCGGAAAATTTCACTCCACTGAGATCTGACAGAACCCAGAAGTGTAGAGATAGAGGAGTGGTTTTGTTCATTAGAAATACTATCCCCATCGCGTTTATTTATTAACAACATAACCCACGAAATCAAAGTACATGAATCAGTTGCTGCTTGAGATGCAAGGGAAATGAGCTGCTGATTGGTTTGTTTTACCGCAGTCTAAACTTGGAGGTGAATGAAGTCTTGCTAAACAGATTCAGTGTTTGGTCTTCGAATAATCGATGTTGAATTTTGGAGGACATTATTGAACCTACTGCAGACTGGGAAAACCCAAGTGTGGAGTCACTATAAAATTTCTTCAAACAGGAACTGGATGGAACGGTGATTACATGTGCACTAGTGTGACATTTCAAGGAAGTAAATAGGCGCGACCCGGACTCTGGATCACCTTCACTAAATCTCATATTGATTCGTTATGAGGATGGAGTGTCAAACCCCGACAATATGCTAATTCGAAATCAGTGAACCTGCAATCCCAATCCTTTCTTTCTATACGGTTGTCAAACCTGTTGCGTCTGCTGAAACCAGACCAAACGTTTTTAGAGCAAAAATTCGGTGAATACTGCACTCACAGTTCTCACCAGTTTGGAAGACATCCGGGTATTTGTTCACGCACTGCACGTCCCTCGGACTGCAACAAGGAGTCTAAGGAGCTACTCACCACGGTTCAGTAAGAAAGTTTTTAACCTACTTTGAAAAGGAAAAGAAAGTGAGGGTGATTTAGGCTATTAGGTTATAGTGAAACGAAATCTCGATATTAGGAAGTCCAGAGTGCCTTTTTCAACCGCTCCCAGATCCAGAATGCCCATCAAACTTGTATTTACGTAAAGGAATGAGAGGATAGGCGACATCCCCAAATCATATGGAGATAATAGTACTACGATACTAGTGGAAGATGATAGAGCTCAGGTATACTCTGACTACCTTAGCAGGGCATGTACAGTAGAGACGCTTATTTGGTTTATATTGATCCCCTTATCTATACCCGAAAGTGACTATTAAGGAACTCAATTCACGTGGTCTAACAAATTAACCAAGTGTTAGTAAATCAGCGAGACCCTATGGAATATATCTTTGGTTACCAAAGGAACTACTGATCTACTCATAACCCAGCGTAAAGAAACAAAAAACACTACACTGGGTCTTGTCTTGAAAATAGGTACGAGACACAAATCAAAGAACCGTCAAGTCATAAGCATAACCAGGGTTGTCTAAATTCTAGTAAAAATCATTCGAAATAAGTATCCAGACAATATCCTGATATTTTCTGAAGAGCCAATGTTGTACCTACCCAAGATCCCAATTTTGGGAAAGCCGCTATAGTAAACTTTGGGGAAATGGCACAAAAACCCCAAAATTTCCACAGACCTAGGGAAATTCCCCAAACTTTGGGATTTTTTCCCCCAACTCTGGGGATTTCCCAAAGTTGGGAGCCTGGGTAGTTTTAGAAAACATTCAATAAGTATTAGCATTACCGATGTTGAGAATATGAAGTCCAAATTTACTCGGATTTAATGTGTAGTGAATTATTCCTGAGCCTGTACTGCTAGGTTTGATGGGTTTAGTATGTCACAAGAAAAATTGACGTTGAGTAAGTGGTTTTCGGTAAATAGATTTAGACACGTATCAGAACAGAGTAGGAGAATCCTGAAAACATCCGATATTAAGTTTGCAGTGAAGAAAGGTTGGCCCCGAGCAGACAATCTTTTCGTGTTCTTGTTGCCTACACACCATACAGTGCAAGAAGGATGATCAACTTGCCAACATCTCACGAGTTGGTTTGGTCATTCTACGTTCTCAGAGGAATAAGTAAGTAAATTACCGTATCGTTATGTATGTGTGATATCACAAACGTGGTACAATACTCATTCCATATTAACACGACTAAAATATATGGAACAAGAGATTCAGTAGTTGACCTCATAAACAAATAAAATCATTTAGGCATTCACGATTTTAAGCGTGATAATGGACTTTTTAAAAACCTACTACAAACAATAACATAAAACAGCCGATCTTTTAGCCTTTTACCAAAGAATAGTATTCGGGGTGAAGAAACGTGACTTCGATGGGATTAGTAATGGATACCGGCATAACACCGTCACAAACAAAAAGCGCGGTCTCAGTTTCAGTTTTGAAAAGACAGGAAGCTTCATGGCCTGTGCTAGTTCTGGCAATTATGGTCTCTCAGTTGACCCAACTTCCTTTTGAAAAAGTCGGCGGGTGGAGTCTCAATCACGCGCTGAAGTAATGAATTCCACTCGTTGATGATTCGATGCAAAAGTCTATGTTAAGCTGACAATTAATTTGTTCTGGGCTTGTGAACTTTTTAGGAGTGTCCTCGTAAATTCTTTATTTTGGAAGACAGGAGAAATGAGGGCATATCAGATGCAAATTTATCATCAAGTAATTTGAAAACTGAAGTCAAGTCACATCTAGTACGTCGATACGACAACGGGGATAAGTTTAGCTTAGCCAGTCGAGCATCATACGAGAGCTTCGCTATTACGAGGATCAGCTTAGTTGCTGTTCTCTGAGCCCTTTCCAGAAGCCCAATGTCTTTTTTTAGACAGGGGCTAGCTGTTTGTATGGACTGACTGGAAGAGCGCTTTTTAGCTATATACATTGCTAAAGTAGTTCGAGAATACTTGAGCTTTAAGAAATTCATCCTCCACTAATTATAAAGCATTACTGTCTCTCTATATTGCCGAAATTTTTCTTTTTTTGTCCCTTGGTTTATATACGAACACAAGTGTTCAGGACATTCTATGGATTCTATGGCAATTTTCGCTTCGTTCAACTTTCTAGACTTACGGAGTGACGAGGCACAGGTAGTCCGAGCTTCTAGATATTAAGATTTCGCTTTATCATTCCCTAGTAACCTGAATCTATCACATATTTTTCTCCTCTTAC